GTCCACAGCAACTGAAGGATATGATGCAGGGGAGGGAGGAACAGAGTTTGTATTTATTATTGTAAAAGCTCTTTTTTTCATGTTAATTCCTTTAAAAAATATAATGGTACGTAGGGGTTTCATTACAGGCCTGTTTCACCAACACAAAGTATCTGTACTGGAGTAGCACATGCAAATGAAGCCGAAACAGAGAATCATTGTTTAATAAAATTTGCTGCAGAAAAAGCAAAACTATCTGTGTTTTAGCAAAGGAAACAAATGAAAAAATGCATTTTTGAGACTTTTCGTTAAAGAGCCCTGGGGTTGAGGAAATGTCTTTATTTGGCTTAATAATTCTATTTCTTCCCATTAACATTTTCAGCAGGTTAACTGTTTAACCATCAAACATCAACTCTACAAGCATTTAAGTACACACTTAACTTTGCTTACATGAGTTATCTGACTGAAATGGGAATACTGTCCTGAGCAAAATAGTTCAGGGTTCAATTAGAAGTAGCCAAACTCCTTAAAGCAGCGCTTTCAAATACATTAGAATGAATTCAACCTTTTACTCTTTTGAGTCTGTAATTTAATTGATTCTTGACTTAATTATATTAGAAACTTTTTGTGCAACAGAAAATGTTTCCTAAGTGTTGTTTATCTAGTGGCAATATTTTGAAAATAGAAATATGCGTAATACTGTGCATCTTTTTGTTGTTATTGAATTGTTATTTTTTACTTGCTTGGTCAAAACTCTTACTGTGAATCATGTGACCATAGAGATCTACTCTAGAAGTAGTTGTATTTAGTGACTTTATAAGGATAAAGTCACTCTGACCTACTTTGAAGATACCCATTTTTAGAAAGATGACGTATACACACGCATACACACATGTATATATGTGTGTGTATATTTACATACACAATTTCTTGCACGTATAAAAAACAAGTTTCTAAATTCCAGGAAATTTAGTGCGATTGATGACACTAGCTGGTATCCAAAGAATTTTTACCAGACAGAATGGTACCTTTGAAGCATGTTTTGTCGCAGACTTCAGCAAGGCCAGGACTTATGAGCAAGCGTACAGGGCTCACTGCATTGAAATCTGAAGCTCTGTAGCACACTCAAATCTTCTCTTTAATGGTAGTCTTTCTTGCATGTGGAGATCAGCATGTCTGTCTGTGACAGACTCTTTTCTTGTCCAATATTTGTGGTTCAAGGAGTGGTACCTCGAACCAGGCTAGGTATGACAACCTTTGGAGTGTGTAAGTGCAAACTCTGTAGGAAAGCCATACTCATCATTAGCTGAAATGCAATAAAAAACATGGTGGAGCTCTCACACTAGTAAAGTTTTCCCAATTGGAAATGGCAATAGAAGATTTGTCTGCTTTGTGTAAAAGATGACTTGAGCAATACTGTACAGGTCTTGGAATGAAGAACAAGACACACAGGAGAAGAAACAAAAGCATTTTTTCCCAGTAAAGTGAGCAACCAGAATTTAGCTCTGACACCAGATGACACTTATGGTGGTGTACCTCCCATCCTCTGTATAACACCAAGTAAAAGATCAGTTTGGGGAATTTTAAATGTTCCGTTGGCAAGACCTAATAATTTATTACTATAATGATAATTCTAATCCTCCAGCACCCTACCTATGCACTGAGCAGCCTGATAAGGAGACATCCAACATGATAAAAATAGTCCTCAGAGATTCCTGTTTTTTACCTTCCTACTGCCATCAGTGCAAACATAGGCTGGAGTGACACCACCTTCCATTCTTCACTCCAGAGTTATTCAAGAGTCTGTATGGTGCTGCTCACTCCAACTACCTCAATGTCTGAAGTCTCTTTTGTTTGGGCAACTTGCTACGTTTTGTAAAAAAAAAGGGAAGATATATACCCCTGCAAAAAATGCCAAATACAAAATATTTATTACTTAAGCTGAGTGGTTTGTTTCAAAGTTAAAACTTGGTCTGTACTTGCCAATGTAGCTGATAACCACTAAAGTTATACTTCAAGGGAGTTGATGCTTATAAGAAAAGTAGTAATTCACTAATATCAATTCAGTCAGTTCCTTGGACAGAGAATGCTATGCTGGTAAAATGACTATATCTACATAAAAGCCTTTGGAAGTATAGCTGTGGCAATCAGAAGGAAAAAAAACATCCTTACCATCATAGCTACGCCTGCAAAACTTCTGAGTATATATGAGGCCTCAGAAGAGCATGTGCATTTGAAGAATAAAAAATAGGCTTTGAAGTGAGGAGCACTTGGTGAAGATGAATGGGCTGAGGTCACAACTCTACATGTTTTATTGTTTCAGTCCATCTGACTTGCAGAACAAACAAGGCAGCCAAGTGCTGATTTACAGGGGGAAGGTTATCTTCCTGACCAATAAGGACCAAATGTTTTGTTTTTGAGAAACAAAATCAGATTCTATGGAACATAAAATCCTTGGAACCTGCTGCTGATTTCCTGCCTTCAGGAATTTCTTTTTGCAGCTGGTAGAAGCTTCAAAAAGTAAAATTGTGCAGTTTAGGAAGCTTTTCACAGCAATGTCTCCCTAATACTAAGTACGACAAAACATGCCACAGAGAAAATGAGTAATTGTAGCTGATTTCTTGTTTAATAGGTTTTCAAACTAACTTAATTTAATTATTGTCATTCTCTTGCACCAGTTTTTACTTGCAGGTTGGTTAAGGGTTAGCTACAGGTGGTCCAACTAAGTATCAACCAGGAGACGTTATGAAAACATGGCAAACTGGCAAATCCAAATACGGATTTCTGAACTCCACAATGCACAGAACTACTCTGATAGCTGTAGTTGTCTAGCAAAGGTGTGTTTTCACAAGAAATTAACATTTAAGCTATCATTAGCCAATATCTCACAGGGGGAAAAAAAAAGACTCTAACAAATTTACTCCCTAAAATCTTTGGGATAGGTAGATCCACAAAGAGACTCTAGCCTTCAACATTAGACGTGACAGATTCTCAAATTTCAAAAGTTTCTTAACATGCCAAGGAGGAAAAAATTCTTTAAAGTCCGTATTTCTGCCCATGATTATGTGCAGTATCTAAACACAACTGCAATACTCAGGGACTTACAACTAAGCCAAATGAAGCTTAGATTTATCTTACAGATTTATCTTACATGGAGAATGTCTTGGCTTATCAAATATATTAATAATCATTTTACCCTGCTGAAGATTGGATAGCTACTCTGCCTAATTTGGAGAAAATAATTCTTCCGTATGTCAGTTGAGCGTTTTAGGGATGAGATAGCCTTGTGTCTTGCAAAGAAACAATGCCACCTGTATCCATAATTAAATAGACACTGGAGCACACTCAAATGTTCTGAACACTGCACTACAGGATAAATTAACCAATTAATATTTGATTGTTTTATGCCAAATGAAACAGGAGAAAAAGGCTTGATTTCAGAACAGCATGTAGGCAGGGCTTCTCCTGAGAGAATGAGAACCTAGTTATTGTCTCTTATTCTCAGTCTGACAGTGTCCCATGCCCAAAACCAGTGCCTTAACTTTTAAGCTGTTGGAGAACATCCCATGATTTCTCACAAAAGGGCTGAGGAGCTTTAGTTCCTATTTCAAAAAGAGAGTTCCCAGCTGAGAATCACCATCAGAGATATGTGCCTTCCCCTGCATAAGCAGCCTTGGCTGAGTCTTGATGAATCTAAGTCAGTAACTAAGTTGTGTATAACTGCACTTCATTGGACTACAGCCTCATTTTATCTCCTTGTATTTCTATAACTTTGTAAGTTTGTTGTGATTTAGATTGCTGCTTGGCATGTGATCAATGGTGTATTTGAAAAACAAAAATGGCTCCAAGAAAGTGTGAGAGAGCGAGAGATCACAGTTGAAAGTTGGGTTTTTTTTTTAAGTGCTAGTTTGTCTGGATACAGTGATCATTGTTCAGCTGTTAAAATGATTTAAACTAAACAATTCTACATTAGTTAACAGTTCTATTACAAGACATTGTATAAACAAAACCTTCTCTAAAATGGAGGCCTCTCAATAAATAGAAAAATAAAGTAAACTTAATTTGTGCTCAGAGAACCAGTCTCAAAATGAGAGACCACTTCTGTCTTATTTTGAGGGGTTTAAGGTGAGTCGGTACTGTTGGCCACTTGACATCACATTTGAGTGAGAAAAGTTGTCAAGGTGTTCTTCCTCTCCCACATATATTTCTAGAAGGAACAATTCTATATGTTGGGAGTCATAATAGCAAATATTACTCGAAAGTTGCAAAAGTCTTAAAAAAAGCAAACTAAGTTTGGCCTAATTATTTATCAGCCCTTTCCCAGAGAAAGGTGTCAGCACAGACAATATTTGAAATTCATCTCATATTTGATTAGACTGATTGATTGTTCTTACAGCTGAAGATATTAACATTCATTAGTCTTACTTACTGGTCATTAGTACCGCCTTTATTATCAAGAATAAATCAGAATTCTAATAAAAATTCGTCAAGTCTTGTGATTTCCAGTGCATTAGATCTGTTGTTTTAAGGCTGATAACACAAAAGTTTGCTATAAACATTTCAAAAATCCTTTAATAAATCTTTTCTATCTTAACTGTTTTAAAGTTAAACAGGCTAAGAGAGATTCTCGTTTATCCAATGTAATAAAGCATTGATGCTTTTTACTAACACACTGGCACACTCCTATGTGATTCTACAGAATGGTTAAAACTTGTTACATCTAAAATGACTAACCATAATTAATCTCTATTAAACAAAAGTCAAATTTCTGTATTGTATTTTGACAACACGTAAGAAAAAAAAAAACCCTAAGAAGACTAAGAAATCATGCAAAATTTAATAGGTTTCATTTTAATTGATGATTTTAATGGTACACAAAAAGTAACAAAATTAAAAGCCTATTAGTGATCATTGTTCCAAAAATGCACTTTACTCCCATTAATTTACTTATCTGATTTCAGTGGCAGCACATTTAAAGTGCAGCTGTAAACATGTTTAATCTTTGACTTTTTTTTTTACAGGAGCCCCTGAACGTTATTGATCCCAGTTTGATGGATCTAAATGGTCCAAATGAAGATGCACTAGAATGGGATGAAACTGACATAAGTAATAAGCTGATCAGTATTCATGAAGACTTAAGTGATCCTGATCAGGAACTCAAGAAGGATGATCTAAGCCAGAAACCTGCTTCAGGAGAATGTGGTGATAACGATGTGAATGAAGATGAAAGTATCAGTGATCGTGGAAGTCCTCTTTATTGTCCCAGCATTACTTCCCCTCCAAATCCTCACATCTATCAGGTCTATAGTCTTCATAATATTGAATTATCAGAAAAAAAACACATACCTTTTCTGAAAAAAACATCCAAACTCTCCAATGTAACACAGTCTAACATTTTAAACAAAAGTCTTAGCAAAGACTCATCATTTTCATCTACCAAGTCCCTGCCAGACCTAATAGGGGGGACCACATTGGCAAAACCATATAACTATATGTATCAGAGTGGAAACATAAGCAGGCATTCTGAGAGTGAGAGTGGGATAGTGAGTGAATGTGACACAGAAACTACAAATAATTCAGAAATTTTTTTGCTAAATGATATGGAAAGCACTCAGAGTAATCCTGAAATTGGGCATGCAGAAACTCAAGTGGATGATATAGTCGAAGTAATAAAACAAAAAATGAAACAAGATCAAGAAGACCATGCTAGTCTCTCAGATGATTTCCAGTTGGCACCTTCTGCATGTTGCGGAAGTGAAAATGGTGAGGATTTGGATGACATTACCACGTGTAACCCTGTTTGTCTAGAAGAAGTGCAAGGAAAACATGACGTGTTTACATTTTACGATTACTCATATCTTCAAGGCTCCAAATTCAAATTACCAGTGATAATGAAACAATCACAAATTGAAAAAGCACATACAGAGGGCAGTGTGTTTCATGGCTTTTGTTTTGATAAAATATCTGGTATATCTGAACATAAACCTGAAGAGTCACAACCAGATGGGTTTATTCACGACCATACTCTGGCAAGTATCCCTGGAGAATCAGATCCCAGTTCCTGTAAATCTGCAGACTCTGTAAGAAAATTAACTGTTACAGAGAAAACAAGACAGATGTCAACTTTATCTCGTAGTTCTTCATTAGAATCTCTGTCTGTAGTAGGTGATTTGTTCAGCTCAGGTATTTTTAAAGGTGGAGATGGTCTTCAACGAAGCACCTCTTTGGAGAGCTGGCTGACTTCCTACAAAAGCAACGAAGATCTTTTTAGTCATCATGGCTCAGGAGACATAAGTGCAAGCAGTGATTCTGTTGGAGAGCTCAGCAAAAGGACATTAGATCTTCTGAATCGCTTAGAGAATATCCAGAGTCCTTTAGATCAAAAGATAAAGCGCAGCATCTCTGATATAACACTCCAAAGTAGCTCTCAAAAGATGTCTTTTACTGGACAGATGTCTCTAGATATTGCATCCTCAATCAACGAAGACTCAGCAGCTTCTCTCACTGAACTCAGCAGCAGTGAGGATCTTTCTCTCTGCTCTGAAGACATTGTACTGCACAGAAATAAAATACCAGATTCAAATGCATCATTTAGAAAACATCTTAATAGATCTGTAGCTGATGAGAGCGATGTCAATGTCAGCATGATTGTTAATGTCTCCTGCACTTCTGCTTGTACTGATGATGAAGATGACAGTGATTTGCTTTCAAGTTCCACCCTTACCTTAACTGAGGAAGAGCTAGGTATCAAAGATGAAGATGATGACTCCAGTATAGCAACTGATGAGGATATTTATGAAGAATGCAATTTAATTTCAGGACTTGATTATATAAAAAATGAACTCCAAACTTGGATTAGACCAAAATTTTCTTTGACAAGGGAGAAGAGAAAAAATAACCTCAGTGATGAAATTCAGCGCACTAAAGAAGTTAGTAATGAGACATCAAAAGCCACAGATACATTAAGCATTGAAACACTGTTGAATGGTTCAGTACAGAAAATATCAGAAAATAATGGCAATAGTAAGAATGTGTCACGTGATCATGAAAAAGGAACAAAGAGTCATCTGATGAAAAATATCTCTCAGGTTGTGAAGGATCAGCTTGTGGATGATATGGAGAATGGCAATGTTGAAAATACTCTTGGCAGTCAAAAGGAAGGTCTTGTTAGAACATCAGCAACTCCCAAAACTCATGCACCACTTGATGTCAGAGAAGCTGAAAATGAATGTTGTGCCTGTGAAGCATTTACAGACAGTTCAGATGATTCACATATGGATGGCAAGGAGACTGTTCTGTCATCAGATGCATCCAGAAACCCTTCAAAAGAATGTCAAAGTAATCTTCAGCCTGATCTTCACTCTGTTGCTTTCTCTCCTGCTAAAAAGCCTTGCCTTAAATCTTCCTCAGAAATGAATTGTGTAGACATACAAGATACAGCTTTACAAACTTCCTTACCTAATGGTCAACAACATAGAATAACTATTACTGAAAAATCTACTGATTGCTGCACACCCTTGAAAACCAATGAAGCGGAATGTGACTCCTCAGCCAATGGTCTTGATTCATGCTGTAACTGTGAATCTGCTGCTTTTGATAAAAGAAACATGGAAGATGGCTCAGTACACAATTTTGTGAGGGAAATAATAGACATGGCATCAACAGCTTTGAAAAGTAAGTCACAACCTGAATGTGAGTCATCCGCTCCAGCTTCATTAGCTCAGATCAAGGAAAAAGTGTTAGAACACTCTCACAGACCCATTCAGCTAAGGAAAGGGGACTTCTATTCTTATCTTTCACTTTCTTCTCATGATAGTGACTGTGGAGAGGTAATCAAATACATAGAGGAGAAGAGTAGCACTCCTGTGCCACCGGACTTCACAGATGAGAGAGAAAATATTGAATGCTTTTTTGAAGCCTGTCTTGAGGAAGAAAGGGTTGAGCAGAAGCAGTCTATTTCTAATGGTACCCCTGAAGCACGAGTTGAGCAGCAGCAACCTATTTCTAACACTGTTTCTGAAACACCTCCAGAGTCACTAGATGAAGTGACTCTAGAGTCATTAGAAGTTCGAACTTCGTCTGAAGGTAGGGATTTATCTTTCTTATGTGATGATGACAATGATATAAACATCCCTAATCCTAACAAACAAAGTGCATTGAACAATTTAAAAAATGCTGATGATGATTTGCTGATTTCAGACAGGCAAACTGAAGGTTTGGAAAAGAATTCTCCAGAGCTTAGCATTAAAGAGAGTAGTACAGAAAAATCACCTGGAATTGAAGAGCTCAAAGGATGTGTTGCTGCTTCTGAAGAGGCTTCAGCTATAGAGTTTCAGTTAAAGCCTGGCCATTCACAGGAAAAGGATGTTATGCATCAGAACAGTAAAACTCTTACTTGTGAAGAAAATCTCCTGAATCTTCATAAGGAAAGTCATATAAATATGCACAGATAGAATGTAACCCTCTCCAGGCACATACATTATCCTAAAAACAGGTATGTACTCTACAAGTTGCACATTCTTGTTTTTATACCTTTTTTTCTTTTCTTTTTTTTTTTTTTTTTACATTTTTGTACAATGAACGAGATGAATCACCATCCAGGGCATCTTTTATGATAGTGCTGTATCATTTGTTTCGATTACACTATAATCCCAATTTACATGCCACTGGTCAACAAATGCAGTGAATACTAACTGCTTCTTGCCCTTTGGCTTTGCACTGACTGGAACTGCTCTCTTCTGGGACAAATCTGCTATCTTGCAGAACTTGAGTGTTCTTCAAGAGTAATGTTTCTATATCAGCCTCCTCTTCCTTCCTCAACTGAGTTGTGGAACCAGAGACCAGCTCTACTCATTGATCCCCTTCTCCACAGTCAGCTGGCCTTATGAGGTGTTCAAAAGCACTTGATGAAGCTGAACATCCTGTTTTACAAGAATGTTGAGAGACTATTGAGTTGGAGTTCCACGATATTTCCAGACAAGCCATGAAGAATGGCTAAGCAGACTGGAGAATGAGTAGAGAGATAATAAGTAATCTCTTGATGTCAGTTTACCATGATTTAAGTTCAGTAAGCCATTATTAAGAACACAATTATTACAACATAGTGTTAGGCCAAAAGTTGAGGTTACCAAATCTTTGCAATATCATTAGAGAGTATGATGTGAGAGTAATGTAGAGTAAAGACTTGAATACCAAAGCAGATGGAAATGGACAGCCACAGAGCAGTATTGGAAGCTTCGGTTCCCTTTTGTGGTAAGCATTTTGAAACATAAGACAATGGAATCTAAGATGAAAAGGTGGCTCTGATCTCTTCCAAAGTTTGAAAGTGGATCAGATCTGGAGTTTCTGACCTCACATAGATGTCTAACAATAACTTCACATTTAATGACAAAACAAGATCTACAAAGCAACTTCTAGATCAGATCCTAGTGTGTAACACTGCTGCTTTGAGTCTCACTAGTTGTTTGGTGACCCAAAAGCCAGCATAGCTATATAGAATGCCATTAGTCTTTGGAAATACTCCTCCAGTAGACCAGAGCCAGCATGGCAACTCCAAAAGCCCCTCCAATTCCAAATACAGCTGCTTGCCAGAAGCTGTAGCAAGGGAATTTCCGATAAAACACAAGGCTAAGCACGAGACCAGGTTTCCCTGGCAAGTTCTGGAATCTCCGGGCTTGGAGATTTTCTGAATTGAAGTGGACGTGGCCCTGATTAATCTGGTCTACCTTTGAAAATAGCCTTCCTTTGAGCAGGAGGTTGGACCAGAGAAAAGGCTGTTATTCATCTCTGCCCATGAAAACCACTAGTACTCTCCTATTGCAAACTACGTAGCTGTAGCAGAGGATCTGGGCCTATTTATACAGAATAGATTACTACTATTAGATGTTTAACTTCTACATTTCCTGATTTTCCTATATACATTACTATGCTTTGGGCTATTCTTTTGCACATATTGGTGGTTTACCCAGCATTCACACATTCACATATATATAAATATGTCTAGCAAAGTCTTTAGGTTATGACAGTAATAGTCTACAGCTTGCGACTATGTCTTTTGACTTATATCTATTTGAATAATGTGTTATCTTCAACCATCATAGCAAAGAGGATATTTCTTGAATGGCTTTGAAATAGGCTAGCATGATCTGTTGATTGCCAATTAGGTTAATTAATACTTGAACACATCCAAACAACTGGAGAAGCAATGGAAATCAACTGGGAATTGCAAACCTCATAGATGACGCTACAGAATCTAGAATTACATTAGAAGGATTGTGTGTATACAGAAGCCTCTATTTGGAAACTGAGATGATAACAAAAGTCTGAGGTTGATAAGTGATAATTATGTAAGCATAAGCTTTCCCTAAATTACTGTTTTATTAATTTTCTTATTTTTTTCACTCATTTTTATAATATTAATTTGAGAAAGAATAGTTACTATAATGAGTGTGATTTTATTGTTGTCCTCATTCTTTCACTGATGAAGTTAATAACATGTCTTTTCAATTCACTAGTACTTTTCCTCTGAGGATCTCAAAATACTGTATTAACTTCAGAACTTCATAGTTACCTACATGGTAGCCAACTGTGTTTTTCATAAGACTGGCATATGACAATATGCAGTTGGTGTAAGGACTAAGATTGGACATAGAGGACAGAGATATTAAGAAAAGTCCCACATACAATAAAATGTAATGCAGAGTCTGTATGCAACAACCTAATAGAGTTATGTTATAGTTTTAATTTTTGCCCAAAGATTGATATTGTAAAGGCACCAAAGCCCTTCACACTACATCCCACTTTTTACATTTAGGAAGATATACTGGTTCTTAACTGATACATATAGCATTGCTTCCATGGAAATTATGTACTGTATTATTGCCAGTAGTAAAGCCCTAGGATACATATAGTTTATCTCTGGCACATCAAAAATTGAAAATATAAGCTGCTAGATTTGGTTTCACTAAAGTCTGAGCTCCCTTCCCCCATTCACAAGCTTGGTGCTTTAACTTCATCTCTCATGCTATGGGGAATGAATTACAGAAGCAATCTATCCTAATTTGTTAACTTATTCAAATAACAGTTATTATACTTAACTATGCTAAAGATTATCTTTTTGGTGGCAGATTGTTTATTTTTTGATGAGGCTAATTACTGATTTTCCAAAGGTAATTTACATTTATTACTAATACATCTTTTAAAATGTGACAGATAAATGTTGTTCCCATAAGTGTATTATGAAAAAAGTTACTATTTAAAAACACATTATTTAATTTGAAAGATAAATGGCAAACACCATTATTTTTCCTGTAACACCTGTGCTGTAAGCTCATTTAAATGTGTAATTCCATGTGTAGCTGCAATACTTAGAGAAAAATAATCCATAGTATATGTGTACCTTAAAAGCATACTGAGAATTCAAAGCTGAAAAAGGCTTAGTTTCAAATGTAGTTTGATTTTATACTGTTTTAGTATTTGCCTTGGCTGTACAGGAGAATAAAAGTAACAGTGAAGAAAATATTTTTTGCCAAATGGTGCAATCCTGTTATTTAGCAGTGCGCTACAAAAAAAACCAAAATATCATTATGGGAAAATAATAACAATTCTATAAGCAGGCTTAAAAATATCTCTGTCAGCACTGACTAGTCTCTCATATGAGCCAACATGGAGTTCTTCAACAGAGGTGCTCATAAAGCTGTGCTGGTTTTATTTCTCAAGTAGGGGACAGCTTGAAAGAACCATCTTTCTGTATATGAGATCATATGATCTTATGTTGCCACTGTGACCCATGACTCACCAATGGGATGGTAATTTTTAGTCACATATTCAGTATGCATAGAGATCAATACATTAAGGAGGTTTATGTGATGTGTCCAAAGTCTTTTCTAGAGGATACATTAGACTTTTGTGTGTAATCTGTTAGCTCTTACAAGTAAGTCCAAAAGCTATTTCCTTCCTTTTGTTCAGAATTTCTAATTTAAACTTAAGTTTTAACTTAATTTAGGGAAAAAAATGTTTTACTTAGGCTTAAGAAAACTAAATTGGTTTTATCTGACAGTGCTGCAATGTCAGCCAGAATATCCTGCCACTTACTATAGCCAGGAGAAACCTAGGACTGGTACTCAGAAGGGCCTGACTGTTATTTCCTGCTCAGCAATAGATTTTTTGTATGACTTATTCATTCCTTGCCTCAGTTTCTTTAGCAACAAAGTAATGAGAATAATGATCAGTGGGACCTGTGAAACATAATTTATTCACTGAAAAGTGTTTTGAGATCCACAGATAAAAGATGATATATAAGTGCAAAGGACTGTTAGTTAATTGTTCATTACAGGAGAAAAATAATATATAGGTTTACACAATAGCTGATATGTAATAATTTACCTTTAGACACTGGAACTACGAGAAACTAAATCTTTGCTTACCAATTTTTTCCTAGAGGTTTTTATAGGAAGGTAGATACTATAATGTTTCTTTATAGAGTATAAAACAGTCTGACTTTTTAGCTCCTTGTAGAAGCTGACTTTAAAAAAAATAAATAAAATAAACAGATAGTCTTGTATTGATTAGGAATTACATAATTTTTTAAAAACTTGACATAATCCATCAGTGAGACTTTTCTTACTATAGATACGTGAAACTCATGCCGGAGTCGTAGAAACCTTTTGATACAATCTTCCCCTTTATTCAGATTGGTTCTTCATTAATTTCTAACAAACCGTTGAGCTTTTCACTATTTTCATGCAAGTATATTTCTTCTATTAAAGAGAGAGGGGGACATTTACAGCAAATAAGATCAGAGGAGAAAGTACCTGGATAGATCCAGATATTCCTGCTTAATTTGTAAGGCATATAATGCATGTCTGGAGTGCCGCCTAGGAAATGCCTATGAGATGTACTTTGCACTAATCTTTGAGCTGTATTCTGACAGTTATTTCTTCATAATCCTCATCATAAGCCTGTGCTCTTCGGTGAATAGTTTAACCCTAAACTCTGAGCTAGATAATTCTATAGTATGAAAATTTAACTCGTTGCTGGTACTAGAAGTGTCTACATAGCTATTTACAATTTAAAAATACAGTGATGACACTGAGAATTCTATTCATGGACCACTTCTGTGACAATCCTTTCCTTCTCTGCATTGAAATCTCATTCCATGTATTTACCTAAATATTAAAAGAAGTGATGGGTAGATCTTTTTGTTGCTTGGCTTTTGAAAATTCCTATGTTTTTATTGATCGGTGCACTTTGAGTGTGCTGAAGGTAAGTTTGCAGGTAAGGATGAGGACAGGATCCAGGGAAAAGGTCAGATTTGATGACTTCCCTTGTTTCTTCAGAAACAAAGTCTTTACAAAAATCAATGCGTTTTCTACATCAATACAATTTTTTACACTAACTTGTACCTCAGGCTGTTAAAAGTCGTTGTTTGCCTACTGTATGCTTCTGCATTAAAGGCTCTGGCATGTGATCATTTAGCAACTGTCTATGGTTGTTCTGGAAGAGCTATGTTTTGCAAATAAAACTTCATTTTCTGTAACCTACTATTACTTTTTTGTTTCCTTTTAGAAACTTGGCTGCAATTCAGGTGCAGGTTCATCCTGTAAACCCTGGGATGACCTCCAATTCCATTGTATCACTGCCTTTCATTACACTGACTCCCAAGATATATTTTCTTTCCAAATGTGATTTGTCCATGTTGGCTTTGTGATGAGGCTGCATATGCTAGTCCTATTTCAGTGATCATTTTGTATTGTAGCAAGGCCATTTGCTTTCATATGGATTCCTCTCCCAAGCTACCTCTAATGACCTCCCCTTCCTAAATTGGATGCTCCTGTATTACTTTTCACTGATTTGGTTCTTTAAAGTTTTGAAGTTCCACAAAGTTCATGATCAGTCTGGTTCATCTTTTCAGAACTGTACCTGCCAGTACTCTTCTATTTTATGTATCAAATTTAATATTTATGTGTATAATGCATAAGTTTGTTGAAAATATTTTACTTTTAAAGTGACAATTTTGTTGGATTGCAGCAAAAAGAAGTCATTAGCCCTTCTGATTCAATACATCTTAAAATTAAGCAATTACAATAAATTGCATTTTATTTATTTAATTTTAAAATTTAATCTATGCAACACTTCAAGAAACAACTACATGGTGTTGTATATTAGTAACTGTTGACATTCTACTGAATTAAGTACAACATTTTGGTTTTTTATGCTTCTTGAGGTGGTAATGAGAAAAAAAGTTTTTAAAAAATGTGTGCCTTGCTGTATTTCTTATACCATTTATTAAAAAGCTGCTTTCACAGTAAAATTATGTTGGTTTGAAAGGAGGAAATAGCAAGGTTAAGATGTGTGAATAATTTCTGTATATATGTATAACCAAGTGCAAACATTGATGTATAATGACAGTATAAAATGCTTTCATGTTTGTGATGTCCAGTGATGTGGAAAATATAAGCCTTAAAACCATTAGATTGCATGGTAATTAGAATTGGCATAATAAACATAGTTTATTGGGGAAAAAAAAGCAGAACTGGTGATCTGTTTTACCTGCGTTCCAAGAACAGAATGCTTTATCAGAGTGCAGAAGAATATGGTTTTATTTGCAAATATTCCCTAGAGATACGTGGTTCCATAGCTGGTGAAGATTTGTATTACCTGGCTCAGAAGTAAAGAACCTTTTCATTAAAGATTCTGCAGGTCTTTTGGGCCAAACAAGGAGACACAAATATTTAGTAGTTTAAATTAGTACACTGCCAACGGCAGTGGTAGCAATGATCAGACACACTTTTATAGCAGATTTTTTTTTGTTTGTCATTTACAGTCTGTTGTCTGATTCTTAAAATTTCATTCATTTACATAATTATATTGAATAAGTTTTATATATATTTATATAGACACTTTTACAGTTGGCTGTTTCAATTACTGTACATTTTAAATGTTTTTATCTTGTGCTAAAACTATATCGGGTGGCCAAAACAAGCCAGACAGCTTTGTAACCTGTCTCTGCAAACATGGCATTCATCTCCTAAAAATACTACTGGGAAGGGATGTCAGGAAAGTTAAAAGGCAAAGAACGCTCTCCCATACTACCTTTTATCATTATTTTTCCAAGTATAGAAATGTTTTTACAAAAAGCTTCAACATTCTTCTTCCTTTTAAAAAGGTACATCAGTTTGACGAGCTTAGGTAGTAGCTTAGAGAAACTATACTGGCCAGCTGATATATTCATACAACACTGAAGGAACGGGTAATTTAAAAAACTCCTCATGTTTTCCAAATTATTAAGACCTTCTTATTACTGAGAGAGTCAAACTATTTATGTCTCAATTTAAATTTCCACTGCGTAGCCTTGGGTAGGCTATGATGCGAGTAGGGCAGCAGAAACAACTCTTAGCTTAAAGGAAAGTGTAAATAATAAGAAGCAATTTTTAAGACAGCCTTTTGAATCTGTAAAGTTTTCTGCTCTTGCAAATCTTGTATCATGTACACATCTAATAGGTTAACCTATAATCAGCTGACATGTATAACTATATAGCTAAAGATGACTTTAATATATTTTAAATATATATTTTGAATTATATTGTCCTGGTTTCAGCTGGGGCGGAGTTAATTTTCTTCTGAGTAGCTAGAATAACATTGTGTTGTGGATTTAGTATGGGATTTGGTACGAGAAGATTGTTGATAATATACTGATGGTTTTAGTTGCTGTTAAGAAATCACGGACTTTTCAACTTCCCTTGCTTTGCTAGTGTGCGGGTGCACAAGAAGCTGGGAGGGAACATAACCAGAGCAATGGACCCAAATTGGCCAATGGGGTATTCTGTATCATGCAATGCCTTGCTCAATATATAGATGAGATTTGGACAGGAAGTTGGCTTGCTCCATTCCGGGACTGCGGTTTTGGGATTTCTCTCCTCCAGGATCGCTGGCTGGGGATAGGCTGGGGATTGGTCAGCGGGCAGTGAGCGATTGCACTGTGCATAATCTGTTTGTCTATTCTATTATCATTATTATTTTTAATTTTATTTCAATTATTAAATTGTTATTATCTCAACCCATAAATTTTACCTTTAACCCTCCAGTTCTCTCCCCTATTCCACTGGGGACGGGGGAGAGTGACTGAGCTGCTCCATGGTGTTTGGCTGCCTGCCAGGTTAAAACCATGACATATATAAAAAGTAATTTGGAATATAACTCCTAATATTAGTAAAATATTTACAGTGACAATTATGTTCATCTATGAATTATTTCAAATATGATTTTAAAAATGGTCTTGACATGGGAATTGAGTTTGGAACCATTCTTTTTTTGTCCCTAGCATTTTCTGATTTATATTGTATTTTTTTAAGCTTACTTTGACTATAGTCATACCTTACACTACGATGACAGCAAAACTAATAAGTCAGAGGCTTTTCAGATCTGTCACCGCACCCAGCAGACTGTGCAGAACTCCATCAATTACTTGTACCATTCTATTAGACCATTTGCCACAAATTCACTTTTTTCCTGAGGGAAAATAGTAGTACTCGTCAAATCAATAAACCACATATTCATCATACAATATCTAGAATATTATATAGTCACAACTCAAATTTTCTGTGGTTCCTTTCTGAGAGATGCTGAACATTTTAATTTAACTAGCATTCCCAGATCTATAGTATTTGATGTCATGAGATAAAGTCATCATGTTTATGACAGTGACACAAGACCCATCATTATCAACTATTCCTTTTTTGGCATGGTTAGAAGCTTTACCCTTTTTTATTTTTCTTCTCAGAATATATTGGACTTTGTTGTCAATAAAAATTGATTTCTAAAGGAAAAGAAACCTCTGGTATATACTCTACAGGATTTGTTCATGTCTTAGTATAAGTTATATGCCCATGGCCAAAGTGTGCCTAGAACTTGCAAGAAGTTCTAGTGTTAACTATCTAAAAAAAAAATATTGGTATAGTGTAAAATTAATGTTGATGGACTAATATTACCTCTAAGATCAGCCCATACATAGATTCCTGTATAGATCCTGTTCCCTACTGGTGAAATTCTGCAAGCTTTCTGCAGCATTTATCCCCACCTAAACTTCCATGGGCTGCTTTTTATTCCACACACTCCCTGGCTCATGCTTGAGCAACATCTGCAATGTGTGAGGAGGCCATTTGACAGCAATGGCCCTGACACGTGGCTCTCCCTTTCCTGCCTGCTTCACATTCCTCCCACGGAGAGCCAGAGCTCTCCAGCTCTAAGCAAAGGGAGCGCACACTAACACTGGTGGTAAAACACATGCCTGGGACTACGATTTAAAAGGTGTTTTATAATCACAGTAGTTTTATATAGGGATAGCCTTTCTCACTTAACAGTTTGCCTTTTTCGCAAGGTAAGTCAAAGAATTTTTATGGAACAGTTCCTCTGCACCGTTTTTTCAGTAAGAGAAATTTAGGTGGCATCTCCATGTTCTTCTGGTTGTTTGTGCTGTTCCCCGTAAGCCCACAAACACATGCAAAGATTCTGTTTGTTTCACAATAAACCCAAATAAAGAGTCGCGGTCAGTTAGATGACAACTTGACCTTCCTCCTTGGTGACAGGATCCATGGATGACAGTCTCCCGTGTCACATGTTTTAGAATTTTATTCCAATTCCCCTGTGTTGAGCAAAACAACATATTTTGACTAAAATGTATCTGGTAAATGTGCTGCTTTTTTTTTTTTTTGAGTTGAAGACATCAGGAACAGTGTTGTAAAGGTTCCTGTGCTGCAGTGCACAGAAGAGGGGTTATTAATGTTTAGGCCAGACCGTATTCATGCTTGGCTCAAGAGGATTAACGGGGATGTCAAGTTCCTAGCCAAGTCAATCTCCTTCACTGACAAGTTTCTACAAACTTATTCCTAATAATAGCATCACTTTGAGAGGGATTTTGGCCAACAAATGACATCTGATCTATTGCTTTCAGTGCTGTGCTTCTAATTTTTCAGACTCACCCTGTCTTTTATACCTTTTCTACCAACCTGAATCACTTTTACATTTTTCATGTGACTACTGTGACTACAGTAAATACATGCCCTTCCCTGATTTTATAAATGTTTTTAAGGACTAGACCATAAATGAACTTGGCATCACTTAGGTCTGTGCACTGGATGAATTCTAAGTGCTTCAGTGCTTTAAAAATGGAATTTCCTATGCAATAGTAAGTAATATTATTTTATTTCTGGAGAGTGGAAAAATAAGCTAAGTTACAAGTGAACTTAGAATTGTGTAAGTCAGAAATTTTAGTATACAAATATTAGTGGGATATTTTAGTTATTATAACTAATTATTAAAAATGACAAGAAGTACAGAATTACATCACGCTTAAAATGAAATTATGTGACACGAAAAGAACAGTTAGACAAGTAAATGTTTTTACCTCTGCCTTACATTGAGCTCACGTCTCTCACATTCTGGATTTGCAAATGGAAGTGAAAATAATTTTTAAAAACATGTGCAATTTTTAAAAGATTTTTTTCTTTCTCGTAGTTACTGTGAGGATGGTTTTTAATGCAGCAATGATCCAGTTGTAGCATTTTCCAAAGAAATACTATGGGAGTGACAGGGAAAGGGAAACATATGTGACAAGATTTCAAGCAATAGTGGGAAAACATAAACCATTCTTGATGTGCTTCATTTACAGAATGAAAAAAATTAGACCCTGGAAGAACTGATACTAAGCACCAAGCATCTACCCCAAATCTATCTCTCTGTTTCAGAGGGAGATAAATGCTATGGGAAATAACATGTCCTCTGGCAAGGTGGTATGGCAATTTCTCATAAAGATTACTGGATATCTACATATAAGTATATAAATATATATATATATGTATATGAACTTCTGCTCTGTAACTCTTGAATTAAAAGTCTGATCCCAGAATTGTCTTTAGAGGTCATGGGTTTTATTGTTTCTTCAGGACCAGATTTGGGCTGAGAAACATCTACCTCCAAGCTTGCAAATGAAGTTTTAACAAGCAGATTTTAAATAATGTACAATGGAGGACCAAAAATTATAAAAGGAAAAGAAAACAAGCAGGCAATCTTTCTGCAAATCCTAATAGTCCCC